AATACCAAATCCTTTGCAATTACATTATTAATCTTACTTTCAAATTTTAGAACGATCGGCTAAAATGGAGACGAGAAATCCCAATAGAGCTGAGGATAGATCAGACGAAATTCCACTACCAACGCAAACAGAAATTCACCATGTGATTCTCTTCGGGTTTCGGCGGAATTCACAGCCAATACAAATATTCAGTGAATGCCAAATTGCATATGGAATGGAAAACTATTTCCAACAGTTCTCCGTAGAGGAAGAGGCCCGAGAAGGTCGAGTAAAATCTTTCACTGATGACGTCACTGTAGCTCTGGTTAAGACCAAAATCGACGAAGACTCACGATTGACCCAAGAAATGATTACTAGTGAATTGGGTTGGAGCGTCATGGCTGTACCGCGAATATTAAGTAACCATCTGATATACGCGAAGAAATCTTCGAATATTAAGTAATCATCTGTTATCCGCGGGTATCACGAGTTTCAAATGAGGCCCAAAAAGAGGCTCCGGTGCCTTTATCTTATTTTTTTTAACAATTTCGATAATGGTCAGTCTAACAAACCTTAGTAAAGTCGTTACTGGTGACGAGTCTTAGTTCTATAAGTACGAACCGTATGAAAAAACAATACATGATATGGAGCCCAACAAAAGCAAAAATCAACAACAAAACTAGTGATGTCAGTTTACTTCACCCGATCAAAAGTCGTAGCTGCTATTCCACTGGAAAATGGATCAGACGGTAACTGCAAAATCGTCCACTGAAGAGTGTTTACCACAAGCTTTCAAAACTTTGGTGAAAAACCAGTAGAAAGTGGATTTGCGGCGCTACTTTTTACATCATGACAACGTGCCAACCCACACTGCTGAAATGAGGAAAATGCCATTGAGGAATTCCTTTTCATTTGAGATAAATCGTCCGAATTTTCAGCAAACTCAGCGCTATTATACAAGGAAGTCAAAATCTCGAAATCTGTGCATTTTAGAAAGCTTGAACGATTGTGGTTGCCGAATTTTGATATTCTGGAATTATTTGTATTTGTTAAGTTGTAACCTTGATTTTTTCTTCCTTTTGTACAATCAATGTTGCTGGCAAATCTTTGAACTCAGTACTAGGTTTAATGAATGATATAATTTTCTAAAAAAATTCAAAACAAATAACAAAAAGAGAGCTTAAAACAAGTCCATAATCTCGTTTAAAAAATTAACATTTAAATTTATTTCCATTATTTTAAGATATGAACTGAAACCCAATTCTAAAATTATAAAATATAGTACCTGTTTTTCTTGTTAAAAAATTTTCCTTTACAATAATAAACAAACGCATAGATTTTATTATTGATCTTATGTCATTACAAATAAAATAAAAGTGGCAACCACAATTTCTTGTAGAGCCATGAGTCATGCCTGAAAAACAGCTGAAACTCCACTTTTGACACTAGTAGATACATTTTATTATACATAACCACTCAAACGTACACATACAAACACATACTCGCGCATAATTGTATCTATGAGTAAGCATTCGTGAGCTCTCCAATTACGCTACAGCTAAATGGGATATTCATACAGTGACTGTGAAAGTGGCACAGAAACATATGTTGTACCTTTTTAGATATCTAAACAACTCATCAAAACTCACTCACTATAATTAAGTTAATATACTACATATACAGACACATGCAAACATCATAGAGCTCGTAATTTTATTTTTATTTTTTTTTTTTTGCTGATAAGAGCCTATTTGAGCCTTTATAATATTCACTTACATACATACTCAGTTGTCACTTTGAGTAAATACAAAAAAATGCCACTTACTTTCTCACTTCATGAATACCCACAACTGTTGAGTAAGACATTGAGGGTTGACTGCGATGAGAGCATAGTGACAAGAAGAGAAAACTGGTTTTCAAATTGAGCGCTCGCTACTGCCGTTACAACTAGTTGACTCATAAACTTGCACAGCATATCTCTGTATGTATGTACAGTACGCCTGCACTTGGTTCAAAAATGTTATACCCAACGCAGGTTAGTAGAGGCTGCTAAGTTATATGTGCATATGATGAAAATATTATGTATATGTACAGGCCTATTCTGTCGAGGTAATAGAATTTACTTTGGTACTAATATAATCATTCAGTCATTTGTTTTACTTTTTCGTAATCTGAGTTCACTGTCACCCTGTAAATTTTGTCAACCAAAATGGGTAGGCATATGTTATGTCTAGAATTCATTGAAAAAAAAAAAACAAAATGGGTAGGGATATTTTATATCCAGAATTCATTAAAAATTAAGAAAAAAGTGCAATAAGGTGCTTTTTAAGAAGTTTACATGAAAAAATACCCTTTTAATTTGGAAGATAGCGTTTTTATTCGGCTTTCTTTGTTGACGTGGCCTATTTTACATAATTAGGTTCCATTATTTATGACACAATAAATAAATGAATATACAAAACCTATTTAATTTGTTGTGCTTAATCTTCCATTTATATGAATATTCTTTACCAAATGGCATATGTAATTTTACATGGTCGAAAAAAGAGTGCAGCCAAAGTTTTGTCGGACAATGTAACCGTGTTAGAAAAAGTTACACAATATACTTTATCGGTAACATTGAGAAAGGGCCTGGGCGTATTTTAAAAATTAAACTATTATTTATTAAAAAAGGGTTTACCCGATTTATGGCTAGTTTGCACCGTATTGTTCCATAACTTATTGCCATTTTAATGGCAAAGTCATCATCCACCTCTCATAAAAACCCTTGTCAAAAATTTGAGACAATTGATTTTCAAAAACTTCTCCTGAGGTCAAATTCCACACCAGCCAAAACATTCGATATAGACAGGAAAAGATGATAATCACTTGGTGCGAGGTGCGGTCTCTAAAGTGAATGCATATGAACCTCTCAACCGACATCTTGGATTTTCTGGCGTATCATTATCGATGTGTGCGGTCTTTCGTTGTACTGATGAACCAAAATTCCGAATTAAAAGTTTGGTAATAGAGTTATATTAGTTGATTTTTATTTTTTATTTAATTTTTTTTTTGTTGCAAAAATCAAAAGAGTGTCATGCCAGCCAAAACTTCTTTGCAGTAAATGAGGTTATGGTATTATTTCTACTAATATGTACTCTGTCCATCAATTACACTTCCAACCCTTATCAAACCTTCGGTGGGTACAAATTATTTACACACCATACACATGCATGCAAACATTTGCTTAAGAACAACCAGACATTATTGATCGCTCTCTCGCTCTTTGTTTTCTGCTTCTCACTGCTCTTTGGAATACCAAACAAAGCAATGTTTTCAATGAATTTATATGGATACAAAATTCTTTGGTTACTTATTATGTGACCAAAAAATGAAGAAATGTATTCCCAATAAATCTTCAAAACATAAACTTATTAGAAATAGACAGTTAATAGCCTGAGAGCAGCTGGAATAATCAATTGGAAATTCACTGAGCATTTGCAACTGCAACTAAAATACACGCGAGTGCATTTTACATAGAAACTTATATACATACATATGTGTGTAGAAATATTACTCAACATTTCAATGAACCATTAGGCAGGGGCAAAATTTTAAGGAATTCAATGTGGTTATGGCCTATGATATACATTTTAATATATGGGTTTTGTTTCTAATTCATTTCGCTAATTTTTTGAATATAGGATTTTTATTTATTTCAATGTTACTTAAATCAATTTATTTTAATTTAACCTTAATTTTACCTTATTTAAAATTATTTTAATTTGATTTCATATACGTAAACGCAAAGCCATGTTTTAATTGTGCTGTGCGATATTTTTTGTTTCATTTTACATTTGAGATCATTTTTAATTCTGTGGTTACAAAATTTTTAATGCTATATTTGTGCACACCTATAAATAATAAGTTTTCTTTTCCTCTTATTAATTAATTTAGACCAACTTAGTTTACCTTAATTTAGTTGATTTATAAAGACTAATTTATTAATTATTAATATTTTCAATGTACTTAAATTAATTATTAATAGTTTCAATCTACCTAATATCTGATTACATTTAAAACAACGTTGTTTATTAAATTTATTGCTATTTTCCTAAATTTGTTTATTTTTCTTTATTAATATTTTATGCCACTGTTTTTAAACTTATTTCATATTATTTGTTTTAATTACTTTATATTTAATTTAATTTTTTTTTAATACCTTAATATCATTTAATACTTTTTTTTAACTTATTCAATCCTATTCCAGTTTTTTTTTCAATTTTTAATTTTAAAATATTTAAGTTTTCTAATTTAGTTTATTTTAATTTGTGTATACATTGTTTATTTTATCACATTTTATTTTAAAAAATTTTATTTTGTTTTTATTTTTTATTCATTTCCTTTCCTTTAATATTAGTTTCCCTTATCTTAATATTTGTTTTATTTAATCATAAAAGTTTAATTATTTTATCAATCTTGTTTTAGCTAAATGTCTGAATGTTATTTATTTTTTTGTCATTAATATTTAATATAGAATTATTTTGTTGTAGATTTCTTTTATTTCAATTTTTAATTTTAAAATTTTGAGTTTGCTTAAAGCTTAATTGTCTTTTAATTTAATATTAATTTCTTATTTGTTACGAATAAAATTATTAAAATGGTTTTTATTAAATTTCATTTTAGCTTTATCATTTCCTTTCATTTATTTAACTTTAGTTGATTTTTTGTTTGAATTTGTATTATTTATTTATAAAAACATTGTTATTGTATTAATTTAGTTTTTCCTTAATATCTAGAGATATATTTTATTGAATGTTTTATTTTTATTTTATTTAAATCTAATGTGGAAATATTTCATTCTATAATACATAATTTTATTTTAATTTTTTTTTATGAATGAATTCTTCACATGTCATATCATATCCTTTCGTTCATTTATTTTGTTTTGATTTTTTTAATATAATTTAATTTTATTGTATTTAATTTTATCTACTTTTTTATTTTTGTGCATAATTTTTTAATGTCAAATATTTCTTCCGAATTTTTTGTTTTAAATTAAATAAATTTTATTTTTCATCTCAGTACTAAAATTCTCAGTTTCCTCTCGGCCAAAGTGTTCAGCTTTCAACACCAATTCAATGTTCCACCATAATGCACGCCATCTGAGAGCCACAGTGAGAGCGCCAGTTATACCCATGCAAAGATACACAATCTTTTAACTTGCGTTTGAGGAGAGCTCGTCTACCAACTGGCCGGGAGTAATAAACGAACAACGGACGCGAATTCATTTCGGTGTGGTCGCAGTTATTTACGTGAACGTATAGTAAATTTTTTGCTTTTACAATAAGTAAACCAACCTAGATTTGTTTATACATATTTTTTGCCGTTTTATACACATTCTATCGCCTTCGATTACCTACTATGATGGGCGTGGTATCAGACTTTGGGCAGATAGCTACTAAATGGGATTTAAAGAATTTGGAAATCCGTACAATGACCGTGGAGAAAACGTTGGAGCCGTTGGTGTTGCAAGTGACCACTTTGGTGAATACAACAGAGCCGAGCAAGAAGAAGAAGGGAAAATCGAAACGTGCCAGCGCGCTTGTGGCATCCATTGAAAAAGCTACTGAAAATTTTGTCATCAAAGGTGAACAAATCGCATATGAAAATCCGGATATTACTCAGGAAATGTTGGCCGCTGTGGAAGAGGTACGTAAAACTGGTGATGCAATGAGTATGGCTGCCAGGGAGTTTGCTGCCGACCCCTGTTCTTCGCTGAAGCGTGGCAACATGGTACGTGCTGCACGTAATCTACTCTCCGCTGTCACCAGGTTACTCATATTAGCGGATATGGTTGATGTACACTTGTTGCTGAAATCCTTGCACGTCGTCGAGGACGATCTGAATAAGTTGAAGAATGCCTGCAGCCAGGACGAGCTATTGAGTAACATTGAACAGTTTGGTGAAAATGCTGGTGAGTTAATTAAGCAGGCTGCTAAACGTCAACAAGAGCTAAAGGATCCCCAATTGCGCGACGATTTGGCTGCAGCTCGTGCTATGCTCAAGAAGCATTCAACAATGTTATTCACCGCTTCCAAAGTATATGTGCGTCATCCTGAATTGGATTTGGCTAAGTTGAATCGTGATTTTATATTGAAAGAAGTGTGCGCAGCTGTGAACACCATCAGTGATGTGGCTCAGGGTAAATCCTCACAACCAACTGAAATCTATAGTGGCGCTGGTGAATTAGCAGCTGCATTAGATGACTTCGATGAGGGTATCATGATGGATACGTTGACTTACAGTGAGGAGCATTCCCGACAATTACTGGAAGAGCGTTTGGAAAGCATCATTAGTGCAGCCGCATTGATGGCTGATGCAGATTGTACGCGCGATGAACGACGTGAGCGCATAGTTGCTGAATGTAATGCCGTACGTCAGGCGCTGCAGGATCTACTCTCCGAGTATATGTCAAATATGGGACAAAAAGATCATACACCCGGCTTGGATAGAGCCATCGATCAAATGTGTCGCAAAACTCGCGATCTCCGCAGACAACTACGCAAAGCAGTCGTCGATCACGTATCAGATTCATTTTTGGAGACATCTACACCACTGATTGATCTTATCGAGTGCGCCAAGACGGGTAATGAGGTGAAATTGCGTGAGAAAGCCGATATATTTACCAGACATGCTGAAAAACTGGTGGAAGTCGCAAACTTGGTATGCAGTATGTCGAATAATGAGGATGGTGTGAAGATGGTACGTTTTGCAGCATCTCAGATTGAGAGTCTCTGTCCGCAAGTTATCAACGCTGCTTCCATACTTTGCGTGCGCCCAAACTCTAAAGTGGCACAGGAAAATATGTCAGCGTACCGACAGGCCTGGGAAGCGCAGGTGCGTATACTCACCGAAGCCGTTGATGATATTACAACTATCGATGATTTTCTCGCTGTTTCCGAGAATCATATACTCGAAGACGTCAACAAATGTGTTATGTCACTTCAAATGGGTGCGCCACAAGAGCTACGCAGCACAGCAGGCGCCATACAAGGACGTTCGGCGCGTATTTGCGATGTTGTTGAGGCTGAAATGGACAATTACGAGCCTTGCGTTTACACAAAACGCGTAATGGACGCAGTCAGAGTACTCAAGGAGCAGGTGATGGCCAATTTTGCACAACGCGTTGATACCGCCGTCGATGCGTTGGTGAACAATTGCAGTCGTGATGTGGACGAGAATGACTTTATCGACGCCTCACGTTTGGTCTACGATGGCGTGCGCGAGATACGACGCGCTGTGTTGATGAACCGCAACTCTGATGAGTTAGACACCGACACAGAGTTCGAACCGGCTGAGAATACAATGTCGGAAACACGCAGCAAATCGAGTGCGCAGGATGGCGGCCCTACCGTGGATGAGTACCCTGAGATTAGTGGTATTTGCACAGCACGTGAAGCTATGCGTAAAATGACTGAAGAAGACAAGCAGAAGATTGCCCAACAAGTAGAGCTCTTCCGACGTGAAAAACTCACCTTTGACTCTGAGGTGGCTAAATGGGACGATGCTGGCAACGATATCATCTTCCTGGCTAAGCATATGTGTATGATTATGATGGAAATGACAGATTTCACACGTGGACGCGGTCCGCTCAAGACCACCATGGATGTTATTAATGCAGCTAAGAAAATCTCTGAAGCTGGCACGAAACTTGACAAGCTGACACGTGAAATAGCCGAACAATGCCCTGAGAGTAGCACCAAAAAGGATCTGCTCGCTTATCTACAACGTATCGCACTCTATTGTCATCAAATCCAGATCACATCCAAAGTCAAGGCGGATGTACAGAATATAAGTGGCGAATTGATAGTCTCCGGTTTGGACAGTGCTACTTCCTTGATTCAAGCAGCCAAGAATCTCATGAACGCTGTTGTGCTCACCGTTAAGTATTCGTATGTAGCATCGACGAAATACACTCGGCAAGGTACAGTCACATCGCCCATTGTGGTTTGGAAGATGAAGGCGCCCGAAAAGAAACCACTCGTACGCCCAGAGAAGCCGGAAGAGGTGCGTGCTAAAGTGCGTAAGGGATCACAGAAGAAGGTGCAGAATCCAATACATGCGCTCTCGGAATTCCAAAGTCCTGATGGTGCGGTTTAAGATTTGAACATATTTAAGGAAAATCATACAACCTATAATGTATGTATGTAATAGGTATTATCATTATTATTATTATTATTATTATAATAAAGTAGAGGTATTAGAATTCATGTCCACTTGCAAAGTTTGACTGAATAAATATGAATAAAGACAGGAAATATTATATTTTATTTGCAAGGTTTTGAAGAAAAAACGGATAAGAAATCATTAAAAAATTACTAGAAAAATTAAAATTAAAACAATATAATTTATAAATATTTGCAGTTTCAACATTTTTCCCAACAACTTCCATGGTAAGAGATATTCTGCGGAAGCCTATGTACCTATGTACATATACAAGTAAAAGAGTCTAATTACAGTAAAAGTAATGAATACAAGACTCGCACGGAAGCTACATATATAATATTTTTAATTTCATGAGCATTTTAATGGGGAAATCTATTTTGTCAACGTGAACAACAGAGAAAATAGACGAAGAAACATGACCGAAGCGAATTGTTTTTGTATCACTTCTCTTCGCATTCACATTTATGTCCAACTCTTTGTATTTATGTTACGTGCCTTTTAAGCCTCAACAGTGGCATAGTATTCACTTGGTGTTCGTACATATATACGAATATGTATGCCATGCCCAGTCGGGAAAGCATTGCTTTAAACTAAGAATGGTTTTTCATAATTCGGCTATTTTTTGATTTATTTTCATTTTTTTTATTTATTTTTATTTTTTATTTATTTTTATTTTTTTTTTATTTGATTTTTGTTTTACTTTTGATTCATTTTTCATATTTTATTTGATTTTAATTTATATATATATATATTTGCTTTTATTTGCGTTATTTAAATTAATTTTAAATTCAATTTGTTTTATTTTATATAGTTTTTAATTTTTTTATTTTGTTTTGTGTTATTTATTTTAGTTTAAAATAATTCTAGAACAGGATATTTAATTTTTTTTATTGTATCTTATTGTTTTTCGCTTTATTTTTTATTATTTTATTTTAATTTGTTTTCTTTATTTGATTTTTTTATTGTTTTTTTTATTATTACTTCTGATTCTTTTTTCAGATTTTTTTTATTTTAATTTATTTATATCTATATTTTTATATTTGCTTTTAATTGTGCTATTTAAGTTAATGTTAACTTCTATTTATTTTATTTTATATTGTTTTTATTTTATTGTGTGTGATTTATTTTAGTTTATTTCTATATAATGATATTTAATTTTTTATTGTATTTTCTACTGTTTTTGGCTTATGTTTTACTATTTTTTTTCAATTTGTTTTCCTTATTTTTTTCTTAGGCCTTTATTTAAATCAAATTTCGGTAAATTTCTTTTTTTTTCTTATTCTGCTTTAGTGCATTTTATTTATTTAATTATTTTAATTTATTCAATTTATTTTATTTAAATTCTTCATATTTTTTTAATTTTTTCTTTTTAATTAATAGTGTTTTAATTTATTGTCGTTCTCTTATATTTTTGCCTTCTATTTTCTTTTTATTTAAATTAAATTTTTCATCTGCCTAATTTGATTATTTTCTTAAATTTTATTTTCAGGCACTTTTCATTACTTCCTTTTATTTTATACTAATTAACTTTCAATTTTCTTTCAACTTGTTTTGATTTATATTATTTCATTTTAATTAATTTTCATTAGCTTTACTTTATTTTGTTTTATATTATTTATTTAACTTTCTTGTGTTATATATATATATATATGTATATATTGCTTATATTATTTAATTTTGATTTGGTGGTTAATTTATTTTATTTCGTTCTGGCGTTTTTAACTTTTAATTAATTTTTTTCGCTTTATTTTTTGTTTAATTCATTTCCTTTTATTTTAATTAAATTTAATGGTCTTTTACTTTATTTTGCTTTGTTTTCATCTAATTTTCTTTTTTTAATATATTTTATTTTTTTCATTTATTAACTCATTTACATTTTTTAGTTAATTTTGATTTTTGTTTTATTTTACGTTTTTATATTTTTCTTTTCGATTAACTTATTTTATTTAAAATAATTTGCTTTTGTTAAACTTTTACCGTTTTTATTTTAGTTCATTTCCTTTTTGATTAATTTATTTCATTTTATTTTTTTTATATTTTTTTGTTTCATTTCTTTAATTTAATTTAATTTTTATTTATTTTTTATCAATTTATTTCACTTAAGTTTATATCATTTTATATTTCTGTATTTTGCTTCATTTTTTAAATATATTCTTTTATTTTATTTTATTTTATTACATTTAATCTAATTTTAATGTTTTAATCTATTTTATACTTTTTTGTTATATTTTATTTCACATATGTATTATATTTTGTTTTTACAATTTTTATTCGTTTCTCGTTGTTAATTTCTTTATTTCATTTTATTTTTATTCTCTTCATTTTGTTTTTTTTTTTAGCTTTTGTCATTGTTTCAGTAATATTTTATAATTATGTTAGTTTTATTTATCTTGTTTTAATTTAAATTAAATATTAATATGTTATACTAAATTTTGGCCGCGGATTCGTTCGCAGGAATGAACTTATGATGAATACAATTTAAATTTTTTTACCTAATTTATTTTATAGTAAAAATTCAAATTATTGTTTTAAAATGTGTGAATGGCTATGAAGCAAACAAATCTTAATCCAAACTCTAAGGAAATCAAAAGAACAATTTTTCCTTTTCTTCCCCATCCAGGATTCTATGTATTAACACAAGAAAAAACGATTCATCCTCTAGATTTATAGCAAGTAAAAACAAATACAGTATTTTTTCGAGTAGATCGGCCTTCGGCCCATTGGTCAGAAAATCCCTACTCTACGGATTATTACTTAATAGAGAGAACACACTCTCATTGGAGTCGGCTGTGATCAAACCACAATCATTTAGGATACCGTTTTACAAATATCTGTCAATTGATTTTGCAATTTTATTTGCTGTGAATTAATATTGTTGCGAAAATGCGAGGCGAATGTCAGATGAAAGAGAGAAGCCGATAACTAGTACGTTCTAGAAACGATAAAACAAGAACCTTCCATAGCGAACAATTCGATGCTTCTACGCTTTCGTCTGCGAGCAGCCGACTGCTATATAAAGGCGACACTCAGCTGCAAGTCAAGTTAGTGATAAAGTAAACTCGTTGGCGTTAACATCAGTAAAGTCGTAAAGTAAACGTGTTGGGATTACATTTAAGTAGAGTAAATTGTGAAAGTTGATGATAGTGATTGTAAATAATTAAGTGTATTGTAATTGAATTGTGAATTACGGAGTAAATAAAGAACATTAGATTAATTCTTTATAACGAAAGATACTGCAAATTGCATTGGCGAGTTTTTTATTTAACAATCCAGAGATCGTACCCGAAGGATTTAGAAAATAATCGAGGTTGATTTAGTAAAATCGTAACAATATCTTGATGGACATACTCATGCACATTTCCTACTGGGTAGCTGAACTTCAATAGGTCATACATATTAGCACTTACAACAAACTTTGTTCAGAGTACTTGCTCTGTTTCTCTGGCTGTCATTTTCGTTTAATATGTATGTAACTTTTGACATTAGAAGATTTTTCACATCTGGAGTTGCATGCATATGTACATCTGTGCACATATGTGCATATGCATAAGTATACTAATTTTTCCTTCTTTTAAATACATACAACCATATATTTATTGTTTAATAGATACAGAAACATACTAGAACATATTTGTCTTCTTTTGCTAATAATTATACTAATATATAAACATATATATATACATATGTATATATCTATATTTATATACATACATTCATTTGTATATAAATACGATGGTTTAACCATCTCTTTGACATCGTAGATGCATTTTAAGCATCGAGAGAGAATGAATAAAAGTATGTCTAGAGAGGAAGAGCGTTAAAACTCTGACGTATTGCAGTGATGCCACATAAATAAATATATTTTTTAATTATATTGCCAGTAAATGTTCAAGTCAGGTTGCCACCAATTCATATTTTTGGTACAAAAAATTAAAAAATGAATCAATATCATTCTTCACCGGATCTTACCAATGGAGTGAAAGAAGTGACTCTACAAGTCGCTCATCATACCGGTCCTACTATGTGGCGCAGAGGCATAAACTATGTCAACAACTAATGGGTCGGCCTTAAGAGTCTTCGAGAGAAAACACCGCAGACGATAGAGCGATGAACTGTACGAGTTACACGTTGACATTGACATAGTTCAGCGAATGAAGAGACACCGGCTACGCTGGCTAGGTCATGTCGCCTTAATGGATGAAAGTACTCCAGGTTTTAAAGCGTTCGATGTAATACCCGCTGGTGGAAGCAGAGGAAGAGGAAGACCTTTAATCCATTGGAAGGATGGAAGGATAAGGTGGAGTGCAATCTGGCTTCACTTGGTAGTTATCACTGACGCCAAACAAGGAAAGGAAAAGCTAAATGGCGCGCTATAATAGATTCGGCTATAATTGCGAAAGCGTTGCTAACGCCAATAAATAAGAATAAGAAGAAGAAGAAGTGGATTTGCTAAGTCGGCAATTGGTTGGCGGTGATTTTACTCTTTCGCACAAAACTCCTGATCGGATTTTATTTGCGATAATGAGTATGCTAATCCGGTGATAAATGACTTTGACTTCCATAGAGATTAGGTTCCAATGCTCGTATATGTTTTCATCCGATTATATTATGAAAAGGTGATGCAAACACCTTTTCAGTTCTAGTTCGATATTTTTCAAAAGACCATCGGTTCTCGCCGCTTTGTTCTTCTTCACGTGGGCAACCGCTAGACCACTCCTTTGGATCTCGCAAGAGTATGTCCCAGTGTTGAAATCTGTTGAAATTCACAGCGTTTTTTTATGGAATTTTCGAGGACTACCCCTCTCAGCTTGCTTCTCAAGCTCTGCATGGTCATGCAAATGCGTCTTGATACCCTCGTTAGCTCTCGATATCCAACTAATCGGGCATATGTTGAGGCCAGTCGCAAAACTATGAGTTATTTAGTCTGATTTCTTTTCAGTGTAGTTCGGCACTTCTGCGAAGCACATAAATTCCAACCTATTTGGGGAGGTTTCGTCGCGGATACTCAATTTTTTCCAACAGTTTTCAAGAAGATGCCTTATTTGCCCGCCCTAAACCCAACTTAGTATCATCGTGGAGCAGCGCTCATTAT